TAAATTATTATATATGCCTGAGTGTTTTTTGTTTGTTTGTTTTTTAAAGCTAACGTGAATAGAGAGAAATACTGTTAACTGATGGTACATGGAGGGATTATAATCATTGTAATGAAACAAGGTGTATGATTTGTTGAATGTAAAACTGATGATCTGTCCTGTAAACTTTCAATCAATCCACAATAAAAACCTTTAAAAAAAAAAAAACTACGTGTGGCTCACAAACCAGCAGAACTGACATCACTTGGGAGCTTGTTAGAAATGCAGAATATCAGCTCTACATCCCATCTACTATATCCCAGTAAGGAGTCCTGATGTGGCACTGTGGGATGATGCACTGTACTTTAAGGTTGGTTTGAATCCCAAGGTTGGCAATTCAAACTTACCAGTGGCTCCTCAGAAACCCTATAAGGGTTGCTGAGGCAGAACTGACTCTAAGGCACTGAACAACAACATACCCCAGTACAGACCTACTGAATCAGAACTGCATTTTAACAAAAACCTAGGTGATTCATATACACATTAAAGCTTGAGAACCACAACTCCACACAATTACAGGATTTGAGTAAATCATGTTAAGGTCCCTTACAACTGTATCTCATGCAAAATCAGACCTGACAACATTTGAGCTTGTATTATCATGTGGCAACAGTTGTCTGGAGTTAAGAAGCAATCGCTTCCATTTGATGGGTTGTATTCTCGCTAGGTCCTCACAATCCTCATCATTTATTTATGTAAATTACTAGGCTCCTACACAGCCTCTTAAGGTGCTCTGGTAGCGTTGTGGTTATGAGGGAGGCTGCCAACCCCAAGGTCAGCAGTTTGAAACTACCAGCGGTTCATGGGAGAAAGCTGAGGCGTTCTGCTCCCGTAAAGATTTATAGCCTTGGAAACCCTGTGCAGGGTCACTATGAGTCAGAACCAACTCCACGGTACTTAACAACAAACAACATTCAGCCTCCTACCTAAATTTTACTGAAAAGTCCCCTTTTCAGTAAAAAATAGATACTTTCAAAGATAAAAACTCATACTTATATATCTAGGTAAACGTAAAACTGGTCATTTACCTTGATGGGAAGTAGTGAGGTCCAGGTAAGAAGTAGGGATGATGAAAAGAAAATCTCGGTGGTGTCCCAAACAATGTGGCTGGATGGCCCAGGGGAGGGGGCTGGTAGACATGTGAGTGTGGAATGGGAGGAGCCTGGGGGATTGGAGCACTTCTGGGACAAGTAGAAACACCGGGATACTCCTTGGGAGGTTGGATGGTTGAGGCTGCAAATCTGGCATGGGCAGTACTTGCACTGGTTGAAATCCTGTTGGTACTCTCCAGACACACAGGGGTGAGTCTCTTCATAGACCGACTAGCTCCAGAATGCAGCCGATGAGTGTCCGTTTGGGAGGGCCCAGCAAAACGCTGGGATGGGAGTGCTGGACGGAGGGGGAGACTTGGAGTCTGGATGGCCACCTGGGCAGCACTGGAGACACTGGGCTGGAAAAGTGTGATGGGGCTTGGGCGCTGGACTGCAGGTGAGGGCAGCTGGATGGCAGGTGTGGCTTCACCTTTAGAAATAAAGATAGCACAGATCAGGCATTCATTGTGTTATCTCATGATTTTCTGTTTCTGTAGAATTTAATAAACTGTACAACCAGAGGTCTCCACTAACCCCCTTGCCTAATAGCATCACTACATTCAATTACTCTATTTATTTCCCTAATTATTAATTTACAGTATATTGAACAAACTGAAGTTATCTATGTGTTTACTTACATTTTTTGTCTTTCTTTCTCAACTAAGCTCCAAGTATCTTGAGTGCCATGCTTTGTTCACTGCTATATCCCCAATACAAAAAAAAAAAAAATTCTGCCTGCCACAAAATCCCTGTTGCCACCAAGTTGGTTCTGACTCATTGCAACCCAATGGGACAGAGTGGAACTGCTCCACTGAGTTTCCAAGACTGCAAAGCTTTTGGTAAGCAAACTGCTCAAAACAGATCCTCCATAAACAGTCATTGGATGAATAAACAAAATTATTAATTGGTTGATTGACAAAAGAACAAATACACAAATGCTAGAATGCTAATGTGTGTGTGTATTTCTAAAAGAAAGAACATGAAACTACTGGCAGTGAATTTTGAAGGACCAGCCATCTTTGTACTGATCTGCATGTCTAGTGATTCGGAATCGCTAGTCACTGAAAACTCTATGCATAGCAGAGAAAAATTGTCTGATATCGGACTGGAAGGTGGGAGGGCACTCAGAAAGCGATTGTGGAAAAAAATGCCTACTCAAAGTAGGGTTG